GAACCCCACCCCGCTCCTATAAAAGAAGCTCCCTGTTCCGCCACGTTGGTTTTCCTCCTTTGTTCGGAGTCAGCCCGGCAGATCCTCCACATAATAAAGGCTTGTTATAGTCCCAGTCTGGTACTGCTTTTTGGTTCTTTTTACCTAACACTTTCGTTAGGCCGTTGGTAGATACCAGTGAACTAAAAGGCAGAGTCCCTGCTGTTCTGTGGTTCCGTGGCTGGGAACACAACCAGAAGAGTGAGCTCCCCGAGGAGAGGGATGGCGTGGGAAGGCGATTGCTGAGCCTCCTCGAAGAACTTGGGGTGCACGGCTGGTGGGGCTCACTGTCCTGCTCGGTCCTCTGTCCAGGCTCGTTCCACCTCATCCACCTGATGTTTGACGACTACGTGCTGTACCTGCTGGAGTCGCTGCACTGTCAGGAGCGGGCCAACGAGCTCATGAGGGCCATGAAGGGCGAAGGCGGCAGCGGTAAGCCTGGGGCTGTGGTGAGCAGGCTTCCCCCTCTCGGGGCGGGTGTGAGCGCTGCTGGGACTCGCCCTCAGTGCCACAGTGTGGGAAACGTCACAGGCTTTCGGGCACGGGTGCAGCTGACCACACAGATGACAGAGTGGCTTCCCCTGTTCCTAGTCCTTAAAGACAACCTGCCTCGGCACCAGGCTCCAAGAGCTTGCCTTTTGTCTCTTCGCAGCAGAACTTCGAGAAGAGATCATCCTGACAGAGGCCACCCCACCAACCCCTTCACCAGTGCCCTCGTTTTCCCCCACAAAATCTGCCACATCTGTGGAGGTGCCGCCTCCCTCGTCCCCTGTCAGCAACCCGTCCCCTGAGTACACCGGCCTCAGCACTACAGGTAACGAGAGCACCCCCAAAATTTCAGGGACGGGCAGAGGATGCCGAAAGGGAGAGCTTTCTGGGGAAAGACTCTTCCAAGGCAATGCCAAACTCTTCCTGGAGTATCAGAGGGCTTGTGGATATCGGTTTACCCATTGGTGCATCTTCTGTGGGCTGTTTTCAGGTTGGCAGATTATGCATATGATAAAAAGCTCCTCTCCCAAAACTATGCCAATAAATGGATAACAATGATGTTAAGATGATTTAACACACGGCCATTCCTGAGAAGAGGGAGGGTACTCTCTGTGAACCAAAAGCTGAACAGTACCTTTGGAAAGGGGACAGGTAGGGAGCCATAGGCGGAGGCATGACCACTAGACCTGCGTGACACAGGGGCTATGGACAGAGTGGGTCAAGAGCCAGGGAGGGTCCCCTGCGCGTAACCGTGAAGCCGGTGCTCCCAGGAGGCCACACAGTCCAAGAGATGCACAGAACTCTTGTAAGATGGATTCATAGCCGAGACGCACCCAGGCCTGGGTGCATGCCCAAAAGAATTGGAAGTAGAGCCCTGAACAGATACGTTATATCAGTGTCCACAGCATCATGTTTACAGTAACCGAAAGGGAGGAGGGACACAAGTGTCCACCGCTGGGTGGACGGATAAACAGAATGTGGCACACACACTGGGTGGGATGGTACTCTTCAGTCCTGAAAGCGAGCAACGTTCCAACATATGCTTGGACGTGGATGAACCTTGAAGGGAAATAAGCCAGACACACGAGGACGGATACCCTGCACGGGGGCCCCGGACAGGTCAAATTCAGGGACAGAGTGGAATGGCAGCTGCCAGGAGCTGGAGGCCGGGCCAGTGGGGCAGTTTCAGTTTGGGAATATGAAGAATTCTGGTGCTGGATGGCGGCGGTGGTTGCAAACACAGCAGCTGTACGTACTGCCTCTGAGGTGTACGCCTGGAAGGGCAGAAATGGTGGGCTTTATGTGGCGAGTACTGTACCACAGTAAAGAAGATCTCCAAAGCCTGTGTGGAAGCCGCCCCCATCGGAGAACAACTGTGTGGGAACACGGTCAACATCCAGGATGGCCTGAGCAGAGCCGTTAGGGTGAGAACGGGAGGAAGCCATACGACTACAAATTTCAAAAAGAAGGTGTTAATTGCTGAACTAAAAACAGGTAGATGGAACAGAAAACTAGATCCAGCTGAGCAGAGATTAGCAAATGGATAGGCTGAACTGAGTAGTCCTCCAACAGTGTGACACAAAGAGACAGAGAAATAGGAAGTGTGAAAGTGCTGATACATCCAGAAATTCCAGCATTGATTTAATAAATATTTAGTGAGTGTTTCAGAGAAAGAACAGAAAGTGGAGAGGTGATGGCCGGTAGCTTGACAGAGTGGAAAAAGATGAGACTTTCCCGACTGAAAGCTTCCAGTGCATTCTGTGCTCAGTAATTATGGGAGGGGCCGTGCCTCTGCACTCAGTTAAGGAGACAAAGAAAAATCTTATTGGCTCCTCAAAAGGAAATACAGATAATCCCCAAAGGAGAGGAGAAGAGACTAAAGAGACTGATAATCAGGTTTCTCATCAGCAACGTTAGATTTGATTTCAAAATGCTATTTTTTAAAGTGTACAAAAACGGCCATTCATAGAAATATATTTGTGATTATATGTGTGCACGCAGAGACTTTCCCTTCAGGACTTTTGATGTGCTGCGGGAAGTGATTGTGATTGCTAGCCAAGGCTTTGCTACCGCAGGCAGGCAAGGTGTGAGCTCATCCTGCAGGGCTCCTCAAGAAGGAGAGAAGCTTTCTGTGTGGAGGGTTCGGAAGAGACCACGGAAAGACTCCAGGCTTTGTGGCCTGGAGCGTTTGGTAATAACCAGTTCATTCTTCTTTCATCCAAACCTGCTGCATTATCTCGCCATTAGCAGGCACCAGACCTGGGAGTGGTCTTGCTCTCTCCCTCTCCCTCAACTCCCGGACAGTCGGGACAGGCTAAGGTGCTGTTCCTGGGGACGCAGACACATGAGGGTTACCACAACTGGCTCCTGTTGTGCTCGACAGCGGCACCGATGGCGTCTTCCGTGTCAGCGCGTGCTTTGGTTAATGCAGCGGCTGGGAAACACGTGTTTCCTCATGTTAGGCTCCACCACACCCAGCGGGGCGGTCCTCCGAGCCTGACCCACAGACCACTGGAAAAGCCCCTAGGAGGCCCTGTGGACCTACTGATTTGGAGCCTGCAGCTGATCCTGGTGCTCACCGGTGGGAAGATCACTGCCTTGGGAAGCAGAGCAGGAAGAAGAAGAAGAGCAAATCCACTCTCCTTCGACCCCCATCACTGAGGTGCTGTCATGTCCCTGGCAAGGAGGATGGGAGATGTAGACGAGGATACCCCGGTAGGGCAGGGGCCACGGCTGGTGTCTCCACCGCACCTCCCGAGTCTGGTGGTCCTCCCCACCCCGAGAGACATCTGAGGTAACCCGCCCCACATACCACCCACAAGGCAGGTGTCCTCTAATGTGCCGGGGCAAAGAAACCACAGGCTCACAAGGGAGCCTCAGAGAGTTCTGTCTCTCCAGATTTCTCCTTGCTGAGCTCCACACTCCTGCCACCCGATGCTGAGAAAATCAGGTCCATCTTCCTGGACAGTTCCCTTGACCCCAAATGAGAATCGTCCTCCAGGCCCTCACAGCATGGGCTTAGCTGTATCCCAGTTCTGCTTTGAGTCTGGCTGTTTTCAGAATCCACTGGGAACTAGTGAGCAGTCAGATCCCAGTTCAGAGTGTTGGCTTTGTATCATTCGTTCACTCCCCCGCACAGCCATCCAACTGTCCAACAAACAGTTCTTGGTTCTCGGTTCTCAGGCAGTTTTGGGTTTGAGCCCTGGTGTATTTGTTTGCACGGAGGCCTCTGCAGTCATAGTTTGCTTTCTACTTTGGGATGGATGAGGGGGAACAGATTCTCCTGCCTCCCCTCATCCCGGTTTTCTCTTCATAATGGGTTGTAATTCCTGCCGAGAAGGCACAGGAAGAGGAATTGTAGAGAAAAGAACAGCTCTGCTCAGTGAAAGCAAAAATGGAAGAGAATTTCAGCACTGTGTGCAACTCTTCAGCTACCCAGGGGCTCCTCCAAGCTTAGAACTACTGGGCTGCCATCTCCCGGGTCTACTGGAGTGGGGACAGTTAAGACCAGCCCAGAGTCATTTCCTGGGATAATCCTGCTGACAGAGGAGACACTGGCGAGTGTTAGTGATGGCACCCTTACTTCTGAGGTAGACGAGGAAACTGCGAAGGAAACGGCCCTGCGCGATGGAGCAGAGATAGTTTGAGTGAGATGTTCCTCATAACGTGGCAATGTCCTGAACAAGGAAGCCCTAGGAAGCAAGAGGGTGGGAAGGGCGTGCGGGACGGACTCCTGGGAACTTCTCACAGTTCCTGTCCACCCGGTGAGTCTGCCGGGCTTTCTTCACTGCAGTCTGGAGGACCCGGGATGTGGCAGGTGTGATCCTAGGGAAGGCCACAGGAACGGCATCATGGTGTCCACAGATGTTTGGGCAATGTGTCCAAGAGTCATAAACGTAGCTTTTTAGAAAGACAAATGTGAAACAGGTTCTCTTCAGATGATGGTAAGCTTTGAAGATTTTAGCACATTCCAGCTTTGTTCCCAGATATCTCCAGGGGCATTGAAAATGTCATCCTGTATAAAACTATGCGTAACATTTTTCTCCAGTACCACTATTGAAGTATTCAATTGCTCGATTAGGCCTGGCCTTGGCACGCAGCGAGCTGCAGCCTTGGAGGTCATGCACATAATTTCCTAACAGCATGTATGGTTTTACTGACATACTCTATTTTAAAGCACAAATTATTTATCCATGATGTATGCCTAAAACTAGAAAATATGATGGTAGGCTCCTTAAGTTTGGGGACTTGTACATACTTTCATTGAACAGCATTGTAAATTGGAAAATGATCATGTGACTCATAAAATGCATCTGCCATGTTTCTTTTTAAAAAATTATCTCAGCAGATGGTCTTCATGTCATTAATTATATTTCTGTTTTTAAATAATTACTTTATTTATGTCCCATCTGCTTTCCAAAAAGTTTCGGAAGCAGTTTATAATACAAACAAGGAAGCCAATTTTTTAAAAAGATTCCAGCCTGGGAAGCAAGCAAGAAAGCAAAGGTGAGGGAAAAGTGAACAAAACAACTCGTGGCTGCAAAGAGCCTAAAAGCTGAAGTGAAATTCCATGAGGCCTCCTTGCTTTGCTGGGTTTCTGCTCTGAGCGTCGCTGACCCTTGGGTCATCGGGCTGGACTGCCGGGCGTCGAGGCCAGTCACAGTGACCCTCCTACCATTTCACATTGCGCCGTGGGTGGACACTTCCTCATTTCCCGGCTACGAAAGAGAGAACAGTGTCGGGTCTGCCTGGTGAGCTCAAAGTGAGAGTGCGCTGACTGCCTGCCGCTTGCGGTGCTCTCTGATACTAGCACTGGGGAATCCAAGGCAGTACCGATAATGGGTTGTGACTCATTAGGAAAACAGCCACGCTCTGGGACTTCTTCCACACTTACACAGGTCTCTAAATATGATTAACTGTGTCTGTAGGGGGAGGGGCGGAGAGGGAAAGGCAGGGCACGTGGGCTGTCTGAAACCGAACCCGCTACATGGCCAGTGTGGGCAGTGCCATAAGACACTGCTTGAATGACGGCTTTTAAACAGGTTTCTGTAGGGCAAAATCCAGCCCATTTGTCCACCCCCACCCCCGACCTGGCTGGGAAAAGTTCGAACTCTTAATTTCAGGGAGAAGGGCTCTTTTCCTCCTCAGGAGCCTTGCAGGTGGTGTGAAACCGAACGGTCCACCTAACACGACATCAGGCCACAATTCTTTAATGTTCCTTAAAGCACAATGTTTCACAGCTACTCTGTCTGGGGCAGGCCACCGAGGGGCTCTAAAGCACTGTTTATGATGTCATTTGAAGTACTTGCTCCTCCAGCCAATGACAATAAAAGTTAACTATTAAACCCATGTTTTCAACTTCCCACCGTGGGTTCCCTGCAACACAGAACCAGCAAATTAAAACACTGAGCGGCTAGGACTCATGAAGAAATAGAAGCGGGCTCCTTGTGAATGGCCCTGCCGCGGAGCGTCTGGTCTGCCCAGGTACATTTTCTCCACATCAGGGGAGATGTGACAAAGATAACTGACCCCCACCTCGCCACATAAAAAAGCCCAGTTATCCCACGGTGAGCAGAGTGGAGCTGGACGGGGTGGATGTGCAGCCCTGCCCGGAGCCCATGGTGACTCATCGACAGCGAATTCTTCCTTCCAGCCTGGCTGCCTCCTTTTCTTTACAGGAATAGAATTAGAGGAAAAAATGAACTGACCCTGCAAACCGAGGGCTTACTGCACTCTGACTTCACAGCCATGTCACACCCTCAGGCTGTCCGTTCCCCTGGAGCTCTTGTGGAGGGGACCCCTAGGCGGTGGGCACGGCAGGGGCCCCGGCCCCATCCGTCCGATGCACGTTTGCTGAGAGAGCACCTGAAAGGACACAAGGACAAGCATGGCCGAGGCCCCAGCCCTGAGCCTCAGGAAAGCATGGCGCGGTGATGACCAGGGAGGGGAGGCCACAGAGGAAGATGCTGGGCCACGTGTCCAGGTGTCCTCTGGGACCCGACTCACTTCCGCCGCTGGGCAGATCTGCCAGTCGGACGCTGACCGTGGGACTCTCGGTGACGGGGTCTCCAGTGGCACAGGCACTCTCCTCGGACACCTCCAGCTGAAAGAGAGGTGACAGCCGAGGGAGGACAAGACAGACCCAGGTCAAGGTAGACATTGACAGTCTTCTTTGTCTTAGCCCTGACGGAACGGTACCGGGGAGATCTAGTTAGTGTCACAGAAACCGAGCGGCACCGTCCAAATGGGACTTTCTGTGACGATGCAGACGCGTTCTTCCATCTCACTGTCCCAAGCAGTAGTCACTGGCCACACGGGTGTGTCCACTCCGATGCAGCCAGCACAACTAAGAACTGGGTTTTTATTTGTATTTGGTTGTAATCGATGGAAGCTTAAGTCGCCACAGGTGCCAAGTGGCTACTCTGAAGGGCAGGGAAGCAATGGGCTCTCCACGCACTCCTTATTTCTCAGGAGGCTGCAAACAAAAGGCACAGGTTAGCTGGAAACCTGAGTGCTGTCTGTGTCAGTTCACAGAATCCTAGTAGGGGAAAGGCTCCAGCGAGCTGAAGGAAAGGTACAAACAGGCCGCCGGGAAGTGGTCTGAATTCCCCAGATCACTGGCAGAATCTGTGACTCCCGCTCCCACGTGCAGGACACATGCAAGGAAGCAATCACTGCCCTCGTGCTACTTAGCTTATGTCAGAGGAGAGTCCCGGGCTGTGGGGTAGCAAGTGCCCAGGCCCAAGAGGGAAAAGAGCTCAGCACAGTAAGGGGAGGGGAGGAGAGGTTGTGTCATAAGCCTTGCTACTCCCAGTGCTCCACGGTCCGGCAGCATTGACATCCGGAAGAAGCCCGTTAGAGAGACGCTGCTCCCAAAAGACTGAGTTAGGATGTGCATGATAACAAGATCTCCAAGGGCTCAAATGCGTGCTCAAGTATGAGAAGCAGGGGTGTTGTGCAAAGGGTTTGGAGCTGGCAGAGCTGCCTTCAAATCCCAACTCTACCACTTACCTGAGCAAGTCCTCTAACCTCTTGGGACTCAATTTTCTCACCTGAAAGAGGAGGGAGCTCCACTTACCTCAGAAGGTTGTTGTGAAGATTTAATGAGTCAAAGTATGAAAACAAAGTTGCATGAGGTCTGGTTTGTATTGGAAAATTATTCACTCACCTATTCAACAGCTCCTTAGTGCCTGGCTGTGATAGTCAAGCACCCTTTTTGTCCTGTCTTTAAAGCCTTTCCAAGACGAAACAAAACAAAACACCTTGAGGAATCAGAATGTTTTGTTGTGGGAAGAAAATGTTCCTCTCAGGGTTTCAGCTCTGTGCGGTGGCCAGCAGCAGCCCTTTGAGGCTCTTCACAGGAGTCTCAGAAATCAAGGGCTTTCACCGCTGTCCTCAGACCTTTAAATAAATAGGGATGGGACAGTGGGGGGGCCGGGGTAAGGCAGATATGGGAAAATCCAGGAATTAGACAAAGGGAAGCATTGTTATTGTTTTCCCAACAAGTAAAAAGCACCAGAGCTGTCTTTAAAATTAAACACAAACCACACACATTCTCTTTCGTTGGTTTCTTTAAAAAAACAGCAGCAGCAGCAGCAGCAGCAGCAGCAGCAGCAGCAGCAGCAGCAGCAGCAGCAGCAGTAGCAGTGATTCTCCCCGGAGGTCCCAGTGGCAGGAGAGGCGATGAGAGGGGTGTTCTTTTCTGCTCCCCAGGCAAAAAGCGTTTCTCACCCAAGCCAGTAGGTGTTAATCTGCTTAAGCCTGCCTGAGTGGACTCCTTAGATTGCTGGCACATGGCCATTTAGGGGTTTTGTTCCCAAGACCGCAGGAGCCCATTTTCCCTAGAGTTCCACTAGCTTTTTGTTTGATAACGTCTATTTCTAGCAGCATTTACTCCTTCAACAACAAATTCAATGGAGCAAAAATTTACTGAACACCTACTATTTGGCAGGCCCTCTGTTGGGGACACAGGGCTGAATAAGGAACAGTTTCTGTGCTCCAGGGGCTCCCACAAAAGTAACTTCTGCTGCGCTCTCTCAGGTGATGGCTGTTGTCACCATGTCGTCCTACTATGGCTTGGAAGAAGACCCGTCGGCCCCCTTGACTGCCCTCTTCCAACCACACTGACCTCGCAGTTCTCCTCGGGGTCCAGGCTCCAGGGTTAATTACTTGCTTGTTGTGGCTGGCTCAGTTCTTCTCCCAAGTTTCCCATCCCCACCCCCAGTCACATTTACAATGATAAAGTCTGTTTTCACTTCCTTCTTCTTACAGAAGCAATACGTTTTCACTACAGAATAACACAGATAAACAAAGGAAAAGTTTCATAATCATCCCCGATGCCCTTGCCCCAAAGTAACCTGTTTTAATGAGAAAAGTATGTTTTCAGCTATAAGAATAATATAATTTCATATCAAGTTTATAACAGTGCAGGGCAATCAGGACTGATTTAAGCAGCAAATATAAGAACATTTCAGAGGGTTTTGTTCATGATCTCCTTGCAGTTCTTATGAACCATGCCTAATACGTACCCTGCCAGAGTCATTGTCTTTCGGGGAAAGATGATGGTGCTGTGTGAAGACTGGAAGGGATACTTTCAGCTCTGCGGCTGAGTGAGGGCACCAGGGACTGCAGGGGAAGATTGGCGCCATTGTTTGAGTGATTGATGTTATTCAACTATTTCATCCCCAGTGACTTATGTCAGTGTGTAACTGTATCGAGTATTGGACACGATCCAGATATAAGGAGAGAAAGTCTCGGGGGCCCAGTCCAGGGTCCACTGTCACCCCTGCCTCGGCCTGAGGTGGCGTGTCCTGGGGACAGAGACTTTCATGCCAGGGCTCCGGGGATGCTTACAATCCCAGCTAGAGCACTGATAATAGAATCTGCCCTAAGAAACCAGTTTTCTTCTTTGAAGTGTACAACAAGCCATGTGGAAATAGCTACTCTAACAAAGTCTCATATAAGCATACCTGAATTCCATACCTGAATTCCTCACGAAGAGCACTTGGATACCATCAAGCGCGTTCCACAGGGCCACATGTGGCACTCACACCTAGAACCCCAGTGCGGCGGAGAAACGTACCTCCCAGCCTGCTAGATGCGCAGCATGCCGCGCTCCTGTTCCCTGAGTAACAAAGAGTGACTTGCAAGGCCCACGGTGTCGACAGTAGGAGAGAAAGTTTACTGAGAGAAAGCTCCTGAGGGACAGGAGGGGTCATGGAGAAGCCTTCGCCAAGAATGCTGTACTGGGCAGAAGCACAAGGTCAAACTGCAGCCAGCCAGGGGGATCCCAGCACGGTGGCCTTGCTGACCGCCCAGCGGGGAGGAGGCGTGTGGCAGTGGCATCACTAACAGCGGCACACCTCTCGCTGTTAACGCAGCCAAGGCATTTCTAGAAAGGGACAGGGACAGGGAGGGGCCGGAGGATGGGCCCAAATGCCCTGATCACCCCTGTGGCCCGGGGGTACTGCCTGCAGCATTATCTCAAGTTGCTACTTAGCCCTAAGGGAGGCCTGCAGGCCTGGCCATTGTGCCTCTACATGGAGCCCTGGCCTTCTGCAGATGCCGCCAGCCGCAGTTTGGATGCATTTTCATCTTCAGCCCTTACTCTCTTTGGAAGGCTGAGGCAGGAGAATCACAAGTTTGAGTCCAGTCTGGGTAATTGAGTGTCTTGGTGAGATCCTGCCTCAAAAAAAAAAAAAAAA